AATCAACTTGCAGGGGTCTTGTTTGTCTGAATGTCTGTAAATAAGGCCATTTTCTGACGTAGGTTTGGCTGGTCCCTTCTCAGAGTCATTTGATGAGAAGTTCTAAATCACGGTAGCGTGTGATTCATCATTTCTGTTTGTACCCTGCCTAAGAAACCCTGGGCATCGATATTTCTGGTGAAGATATTCTCAATGTGGTCTGAGACATTATAATTTTTGCCTTTTATACTTTGTTTCACGATCATTCTTAATTTGATTTTGAGGGGTGCCGGGGAGTGAACTCAGGGGCACTTGACCACTGTGCTACATCCCAGCTCCATTTTGTATTTTATTTAGAGACAGGGTCTCACTGAGTTGCTTAGGGCCTCACTTTGGCTGAGGCTGGCTTTGAACTTGGAATCCTCCACCTCAGCTTCCTGAGCTGCTGGGATCATAGGTGTGCACCACCTTGTGCAGCCTTAATTTAATTCTTTATGAGGAGTGAAGTGACAGTTCCTTTCACTTCACCTCCCACCCCAATTTTGATATGTTTTTCCAGCACCGTTTGTTAATCAGACTTGAACTGACTCTATGAATATGGGTGTGTCCCTGACTCCCTGTTCTGTTTCTTGATCTCGTCCGACACCAGTGTCACCCCCATGCTGACTCTAGGATGTCCAGTGAGTCTTGAAATCAGTGCCTGTCACTGAACCCCGCTCTTCTCTCCCAGGATGTTCTAGGTACTCAATCACGTCTGCATTTCCATATAAATTTTAGAATCAGCCTGTTACTGTCTTTAAACATCCTCCTGGGGCTATGATTGGAATGGCATTGAGTCCACAGATCAACATAGAGATAATTAACATGCAAGCAATACTGACGTCTTCTGATTTTTGAATGAGTATATGCTTCCATTTATTTAGATTTTTAATTTCAGTAATATTTTGTGGTTTTTAGCCTAATGGATTTTACATGTCTCTTGTTTATTTATCTTTAGGTATTGAGGGGTTTTTGGTATTACTGTGAATGGAGGCCCTTCTGATCCCATTTTAAAATCATGTGCTGTGTGTAGAAATTTCACTGAGTCTTATCTCATGACCTTATATCTTGTGGCATCTTCTAACACATATATATTCTAGTAGTTTCTCTGTAGGTAGGATTTGCCACGTAGGTAACCAGGCTGGCTGTGAATGGAATCCATTTGAACCTTCCTTTCCAATGCGCATGACCTTTATTTTATTTTCACACGTTATTGCACTGGCTAAACCGCAAGTGTGACATGGAGCAGAAGGTGTGAGGCTGTACATTCCAGCCTCTGCTAAGCTGGCTGGGTTGTCTTCATTTCACAGCTTGGGAAGTCCTCACAGACTCTTGTATCTGAAATGCCTCTTCCTTTTTCATCATATGCCCCAGTGTCATATATAATTTCTCTTTATTATTTTAACAGTCACATGTGCTGTGTGGGTCTTACACTGACCTAAAACCCCCCGAGGAGGGAATGCCACCTGTCTTCCCCACTGCACCTTCAGTGCACGACACGAGGCTCCTAGGTGACACTCTGCAAATCTTTTGTAGGATCAGTCCACACTAGTAAGGTATTTTAGAGGTTATGCAATTGATTCTCCTTCCCAGTGTTTTAACCTCCTTGGCCAAAATGAGGGGAGTGGTATTTCTTGCAAAGTGTTTCCATATTTCTCTTTCACCCTTTATAATTTTTGGAGGTCAAATTTCAAAAATTTTCATAGAAACCACGTGTGTCTATCTATTGCTTTCATTGATTATTTTATAAAAAGTATTGCAATTGTTGGGATTAATTCTTGTAAAATACGGTAGTGGCAGATTGGAATGGATTGCCCTTCTGGGTATTAGAGTCCACACTAAGAAGTTAACTAATGTTCAGGAAGTGAGTGTTCAGGATTGGGAAATCACAGCGCCTCAAGTGCAGAGACAGGTAAATGCATCCCACAGTTATTCAGTGGGCAGGTGGTGAGGCCCTATTTTTATTATTTCAAATGTGGAGAAATGAGCGCTGGTAACGTGGCTCAGTGGTAGTGATCCCCTCGTATGTGTAAGGCCCCGGTTCATTCTCCAGCACCACAATAAATAAAATAAACAAAAGATGGAGAAATTGCAATGATGACGTGAACTTGTTAGGCAGAGTATTTCCTTTTTGTGTTTTGAGACAGGGTCTTACAAATATATTTTGTGAAAGAAGGGCTGGGGTAAAGCTGGACCTGGGTTTAACCTCCTTATTGGAAAAAGAAGGAGAGAAAGGAGGGAGGGAGGGAGGGAGGGAGGGGAGGGGGAGGAGGGACATATTCCCTTACTTTTGCCCTTTGCCCTCTGGTGTGGGCTCTGAGCTGAGTGGTGCTTCCTGCTTCCTGGGGATTCAGGGCTGGGGAGGCAACTTGCTTTAGCCTGGAGCAGGAGCTCTGGGATCCACTCCCTCTTCTTGCTGCTTCATTGTAAGAGCCCCGCTCACTCAGCTGGTAGAGTGTAGACGCAGGAACACCACTAGTTCCCAGCAGTAGTCACGGCAACGCCTTGGGTCATTCTGCACCTCGGCCATGGAGACTGCGTGACAGGAGCAGGTGGAAACATTGAACCTGAGGGTCCCTCACCTCATTCCGCTCCCTCCTTCCCTGGGGGCCTTTCTTTTCTGCTCCCCCCTCCTCCTCCTGCTAATGCCCCTCCTCCCCCCCTCCCCCCTTCCTTCCTTTTTTCCATTAGATTCTTCCTCTGTAGTGGGAGGTGACAGAGGGAAGTGACCAGAGGCTTGTGGTCGCTTTTGGTGGTCACAAGTGCTGTCCACCAAGTGTGCTGTGCAGTGTGTGTGTGTGTGTGTGTGTGTGTGTGTGTGAGAGAGAGAGAGAGAGAGAGAGAGAGAGAGAGAGAGAGAGGGAGGGAGAGGGAGAGAGAGGGAGAGAACTGATATAGAGGCCCCTTAAGGGAAAGGAGTGTCCGTGCTATCCGTGTTCAGGATGCAGAGAAGACTCCTCCCTGAGCTGGGGACAGCAGGGAAGAAGCCCTGAGGAGGCAGAGAGGGAGCCAGCTTCCTGTCAGGTTGGAGAGGACAGTCACCCCCAGGTTCCAAGGGCACCACAGGCTGTGGCCCAGGGGGTGGTCTCTTTTTTTTTTTTGTCATTTAAATGTTTTGTAAACATCTGCATTTGGATATGTTCAACATATCCGAGTCCAAATTCTCATTTTAGTTTTCCCAAAGTAGAAGAAAAGTTACAGAAACAGAAATGGAGACTAAGGACAGAAGGTGAGCAAACCCTCAGGGGCACGTGGAGACACTTTGCTGAAGACGGATAAACGAGTACCGGCCACTGCCCAGTGGTGCAGGGGGTTCTGCTTATTATCTTCCTATTCCTATTAAGGAAGCACTGCATCCCCCGAGGGCAGAACACACCGGTTCATGAAGTGCCAAGGGACATTCATCTGCACAGACCAAGTTTGGGGCCCAGATCAAATTTCAGTAAATTCAAAAGTGAGATCACACTGTGTTCTCTGGCCACAACCAGGCTACGCAGTAACCACTGTGTGGAAGACACCTGAGGAGTACCCCATTATATTTGGAAATTAAGCAGCCTGCTTCAGAATGACCCAGGAGTCAAAGAAGAAATGACGAGGGACATTAGAAATGAGTATGAAATGAATGAAAATGAAAAGACAGCCGTCACCCTTATTTACAGTCATTTACAGAGTCCCCTCTGAGCCTGGTGTCCCTCCTGTGTCCTGCCCCCCCTGGCCAGGCACTGAGGGTCCTGCAGAGGTGAGCCTGGCTGTGCTCCCAGGGCCTGCGCCGTCCTGGCCCTCAGAGGCCTGGCCTGGCCATTTAGCCGGGCAGATTCAGCCTTTTTCTTCAGTTCTCGCGCAGACACTTACCATCCTCAAGGTCCTGTTCCTACACTAAGGAGGGGAATTTGTGGGGCAGGACGCACAGGCGCAGATCCTACACCCGCAGGCCCCTGTCCATGAACACGGCATCAAAGCCGCTCCTTGGTCCGTCTTACCTGGGGAGGAACATTCACCCACCTCCTCCCGACCTTTTGGACTTTCTATGAGTCTTTGGTTCCTTCTGTGGCCGCCGTTTCTGTGAACAGCCCTTCCGTCCCTTGGGCTTTCTGGAGTTTGCTGGTCTCAGTGGCTCTCCTTGGCCTGGTGTTGCTTGTCCCGTCCGAGTGCATTCCCCTGTCGAGGCTGGAGGTGCAGGGGTACAGGGTGGGGACCTGGTCAGAGAGGTGCCTAGAGAGTGGTGGACACATGTGGGCAGAGTCGTGGAAACAGATATCCACTCAGCACACACTTGCTGACCTCCTGTGCGGTGGACACTGTGCGGCAGGTGGCATCTGACTCGTCAGAGCCGATTTCAGAGCAGAGGTGGCTCTTGGGTGTGCTGTGAGGTCTGAGCAGTTGTCCTCCAGCCAGAGGAGGACCGGGCTCTAACACAGTGTCCTGCCTGTCAAGGTGAGGCAAGGCTCCTGAAGGAGCAGCCAAGGAAGGAGGAGGACCCGGACCTCTCCCACCAGGGGTCGGGGCGGGTGGAGGCACGGGGTGGGCAGCAGGGGATGGGTGGGCAAGGCCACCGCCTCTGTCTCCTGAGGGGCTTTGTCCTGTTTCTGTGGGCGTCATCTCTCAGCCCCATGATGACTCTCACCTGCACTTCTGCTGCCCGCACCTGCCGTCTGTCTGTCCTCCCTGCTACTGGCTGCAGTGACCAGGGGCCCAGTGGTGTCCTCCCTAGCCTGCGCGTGGCGCATATTGAGACAGCGGGTGGCGGGGTGTGAGCAGGGAAGGCACCAGGCAGCCAGTGTGCTGGGCTCCCACCTGGAGCACGTCCCCACGTCCCTCCAGGAGCCATCAGCCCCGTGAACTCCTTGTTTTTTTTTTTTTTTTTTTTTTTTTAAGGCAGGGGAGGAAGAGGTTGAGAGATAAACTCAGTAGTTTGAAGACACCCTCTGGGGTAAAATTTCAAATTGTTCCCCACCCTGAATATTTTTATTCTTTTCCTTTAGGTTTCTTGCTATTTAAAGATTTTTGTTTGAATGAAATTAATGAAGCTGTCCCTCAGGTGAAGTTTTATGAAGAGGTAAGAAGTGACCGTTTTACTGATGCTTTTACTTCAAAAGCATATTTCAACTGTACTTTGGAAAGTCTTGCCATGCTGACACCTCACACACGCAGAGATCCAGGAAAGCAGCGGGCCGGGCAGGGCCTGGGGTTCATCAGAGACGCCGAGGTCACCTGGAAGAGCCGGGCCTGTTCCTTCAGGCTCTCGAGCACCAGGGGGCAGAGAACAGCTGGACCCGAGTCCCCGAGAAGCAGGCTCCTCTAGAGGTGCTGGGGTATCAGCTCTGGAGGTTTTGGGGGAGCTGATTTTGGAGCCCTGAGCAGAGGCAGAGGGCTCCGAATTGGAGTAACAAACCAGGGACTTGGTGGGACTTGGGACAGTCCTCAAGCACACAGCTGGTTCCCCCACAAAGGCTGGGTCACATGTGAGCCTGCAGGGGACTGAGGGGAGAGGGCAGAAGTTTCTGGAAGCACATTGAAAAGGCACTCAGCCTTACAGAGCTTAGGACGTTCTCGCCTGCGGAGGGGGGAGCTGAACACAGAACAGGCAAGAGGAGGACCGGGAGGAGAGGCCTGTGGGTCGGCTCTTGGCTTGGGGTGCAGCGGGCAGGTGAGGGTTCAGCCCTGGCTCCTGGTGGCAGGAGGTTGCTTCTGGGAGGCGGGCCAGGAGCGGTTTCTGGCTGGACTGACAACCACGTGAGACGGGAGGACCCCAAGCCCAGGCTGAGTCTCCCTCCCAAGACATTCCTGAGGGTTGGAGGCCCAGAGCTGAGCTGGGAACTTCTGCAGGGAGAAGCTGACTCTAGTGCTGAGGAGGCAGAATGCCCTGCTGAGGCCCACGGTGGGCCATGCCCGGGGAAGGGTCCACCCAGGGGCAGGCGGGCTCCACAAAGATGGTGACCCAGACCCCCCCAGCTGGGTCGTATGATGGCTGATGAGCCTCTCCCCCACCCCAGGAAGAGCCCAAGAGGACCTCTGTCTTTATGTGCAGATGTAAGATGACGACATATAAAGATGTCACAGTGTCCAGGAAACAGGAAGATCATAGACACACTAAGAGGAGAGACCAGGAGAAGCAGACCCCCAGATGGCGGGGCACTAGGGCCAACTGACAGGCACTTCAGAATTCCTGTGAATAAGATGGTCCAGAGATAGAGGACAAGACGGGCAGTGGGGGTGGAGGGCTGTTTAATTTCAGCACAGTGTGAATTTATTATGAAGAATCAAATGGCCGTTCTCAGACAGAAAGGACAGTGTTGAAGTTAGAACTTAACGTCGGGGTTCAGCAGCGGGGACGTTACACACACGATACGTACGACCCGTCGACAGGAAGCAGGTCAGCAGGTGACCACACCGAGCAAAGCCGAGAGAGAAAGGTAACAGAAAAAAGAAATAGGTAAGACCATTAGAGCCAGGTGGGCCCTGTTTCAAGGCCTGCTTCAGGTGGAATCGGAGTTCCGGAAAGAAGAGAGCAGGCAGAAGCGGTGGCTGAAGAGTAAGGTCACAGCTCTCCGTCTCCTTTCCCTTACTATAAATGGACAAACCCCCCGAGGTAGACCTGCTTTCAGACGGATGAAGACACGAAATTCTGTCATACACAGTTTATAAGAAAAACACTAACAACACTAAGATATTTCTGACAGTTTTACTAAAGGATACAAAGCAGCTTCTTACAGTTAAAACAAACAAACGAAAAAACACCTTAGAGCCGGGTGTGGCGGGTGGCACAGGCCTGTCATCCCACTGGGTCGGGAGGCTGAGGCAGGAGGATCCTGAGTTCCAAGCCAGACTCAGCCAAGGCAAGGCCCTAAGCAGCTCAGTGAGACCCTGTCTGTAAATAAAATACAAAATAGGGCTGGGGTGGGGCTCAGGGGTCGAGGGACCCTGGGTTCAATCACTGGTACCCCCTCCCCCCAAAAAAACAACTTAGGAAACTCTAAGCAGAATCAATTACAAAGGAGATGTATCTTTACACACCATTTTAAGGCCATGAACATTTATCCAGAGAAAAATCTTAAAAGCAACCCAAGCCCAGAGCAAGGAAGAAACATGTTACTTTTAAGTCTCAAGTTTTCAGTTTTGTGAATAGTGTAACAAAATTGACACAGGTGCAATAAATCAAATAGGTTGGAAATCATAATCTAGAGCTCCTCTATATATGAGTTGTTATTTTCTAATTATATTCTTATTTTAATGACATCATCTATTACATAGTGGGAATTTTTTCAGCTGTGCCCACCTAGGCCAACATGGGTGAGGAGAAATAACTGTAAAACCACCAAAGCCAGCCCAGTGATCAACCTAGAATCCACAGCCAGCAAAAATCTCCTTTAAAAGTGAAAGTGAAATAAAAATATGTTCAATAAATAAAACCTGAGGGGATGGGTCGGCGGGGGCCTGCATTAGCAAGCACCCTGAAGACAGGAACTGGGGGCAGGAGGGAGGTGAACCTGGTGGCTCTGGAGGGAGGAGCAGGGGGCACACGAGGGTGAACACATCAGTAAACACGAATGAGCTGACTGCCGAACAGTGGCTCCCCTCCCCAGAGTGACAATGTACACGTGACCAAAATGACTGTCACACCAAAGGCAGGAGAGGTGCATGACGTTGAAGTGCCTTAAGGTTCTGAGATGGTTGAGGGGTAGTCAAATGAGGGTTAGCGTTGGACTGACCAGTCCAGGGTGGGGATTGTAATCACTAGGGTAACTGCTAAGAAAAACAAGGTGTGGACATCTAACAGTTAAAAGAGAAAAATGGAACAAAACGACCTATTAATCAAGAAAGGTAATAAAGGAATTCAAGGGGGACATAAAAATAGGTTAAACTGAAAACGAAGCAGAGTAAGATCGTAGCTGTAAATGCATTTAATGTAAATGAACCAGAATCTCCAAGTAAAAGACTTGAGGTTTCGGACTGGATAAAGAAGCAAAACCCTGTCATATCCCATTTATAAGAAAATTTTTTTTTTAAAGAGAGAGAGAGAATTTTTTAATATTTATTTTTTAATTTTCGGCGGACACAGCATCTTTGTTTGTATGTGGCACTGAGGATCGAACCCGGGCCACACGCATGCCAGGCGAGTGCGCTACCGCTTGAGCCACATCCCCAGCCCAAGAAAAATATTTTAACAGAAGGAGGAGGAGGGTCTATAATACACCCACCAACCAAACCTAATTGGTATTAGGTTGTTAGACAAGCTACACAGTAATGCTACTTGAGATGGAGAGTGGGGTTTATTAATGATAAAGGATTCAACCCAATAAGTATTGAGTCTTAAGTCAGTATGTTGCAAATAACATAAGTTCTAAGTACATAAAGCAAAAATAGATTTTAAAAAAAAGGACAAATCTACCACCCTAATGGAAGATATTAATACACTCCCTGCTTACAGAACAAACAAAATAACTGATAAGAATATAGAATATGTTGAGTTGATGGACATATGTAGATGCCGAATCCAGCAAAAATAGAATTCTCCATCTTTGAAGTACACACAGAACATTTATTAAAATAGATCATGTTCTGGCCCCTAAAGGGAGTGCCTACAGATTTCAAGATTGAAATTGCTCAGTTTCTTTTCTGAGCACAATAGGTTTAAGCTCAAATCAAATAACTAGGAAGTCCTTAACTGCTTGGAAATTAATATACCTCCAAGTAATTATAGGTCAAAGGAGAAACTAAAATTGAAATTAGGAAATATTTTAAACTAAAATATATTTAAGAAATGACATAAGGTATTATTATTAACATCATTATTTTATTTTGCTTTAAAAAGCATTTTAAACGATCCAATGAAAATGTAGCATAATTAGGGCTGATACTAGTAACCTTTGTACGAATTTGAAAATTGGAGAAAAATTCCTGTCTTTTTGGCTTTTCATATGTATGTGAAAGTGTCATAGTTCCCACTTTAAAAAAATTATATCAGTGTATTTTCAGGAAGAATCATGAAATCATGTTGAATATTAGCCGGCATGTAAAAAGAGTAAGCTAAATCTAAAAAGGTTTTATTGGGTCTAAAGTAACGTTCGTTATCTGAACAATAATCAGGAGTTTTATCTGAATAAGTCTCATGCTTCATCTGTCAATTTTTTCCCCTTTCTGTGTTCCTGAATGCGCCAACTGTGCACTTGAGCGGTACTGCACCCCCTGGGCCAGGCGATGGACCTCCTTTAGCAGATGACCTCTGCTGGGGTGAAACGCTGCGGGCAGTCTCCTGCGGTTGTGGCTGAAGCGTCTTTGCAAACTCAGTGGCGGCCGCTGTTGACGTGTTTAGGGTGGACTTTAAGCACTGGTGTTTCTCTTTGCTGACCACCTCTCCTCGCCCCTCTTCTGGCTGGACACAGTCTGGGTCAGGCTCCTCAGAGGATGTCCTAGGGGGATGCTCCAAGCCCCCAGCTCGTATTCTTACTGGATACCGTCCACCCAGGGGCTCAGGTCCCATCCTCTACACCACTGCGGCCTTTGAACACTGAGGCGTTCAGAAGTGTTTTTGCGCCACCCGTTGGTTTTATTCGTCTAATATAGCCATCTTTAATTTCCGCATGCTTTTTGACCCCAGTTCTTAGAAAATTCTGTTGTGGTGTCTGAGGCTGCATTTCCGACCTTACCTTTCTACTTTGCAGCGTCCCCAGGCCTTTAATAGCTACCCACTTCCTGTGGGTGACAGTCTCAGCGGCTCATCCTGGCACCTGACACGGGTGCCCACGGCTGCATTCTTGTTAGCCACCTCCCCCCTTCTCTCCGCCTTCCTAGCTAGAGCTTGCACTCTGGCCGGTCCAGGCCGCTGTCACGTTGGCCACTTCTCTGGTCGGTTCCCACCTGGAGGGCCCCATCTCCTGCCTGGCTCGGGGACGTCTTGCGTCTTTGGAGGTTGGCTCAGGACGGATGGCCTCACGTGCTCCTGGAGCCCTCACCAGCCCCAGGGTGGCGCGCGCTCCTGTGAGCCACGCGGGCCGTCTGTGGTGTCCCTGGCGCCCCTGTTCCGTGCGTGCCTTCGGTGTTTCCATCTCCACCTGGATGGGATCCGGTGACCATGTGCTTCCACCTTGCCGCCCCGCACAGGGCAGCCCACTCAGCCGCCCCAGGCATCTCCCTCCGCCAGAGCCTGAGCTTGCGGGTGCGCAGGCGCCGATCTTGTACCTGAGCGGCGTGCGGGGACGCGACTTCATGTGTGGGCCCCAGGTACCTCCCGTCAAGTGAGGTCGGCGGTCATCCCCTGCCTACTTTCAGCCTGGCCGCAGGGTGCAGGTTCCACCAGGACCTGAGGAAGCTGTAAGAGGGACGTGAGAGGAGGAAACAACACAACCCCAGAGGTCAGGCTGCTGCCTAGAATTGTTTTCACTCGTGCAGCTGTGCAGGGGTGCTCCAAATGACGAGAGCCTCCCTTGTGCTCCCTCTGAGCTTACTCTTGAAAGCAGACTCAGAGCCCAGAGTGGCCTATGGCTTGGTGGCAGTGTTAGATGGATGAGTCAAAGAAGGTGAGCGACAAAGGGGCTGGTCCTGAAGTGGGAGGAGGAGAGCACTGTAGGTAAAGGTCATGTCTAAGTAGAGCCCCTCCCGTGGTGGGCAGGAACTTGGCTGCTGGAAGAACTGCAGTGTGGTCGTCATGTGGCTTGAAACTAGGCAGAAGAATATGTCAGTCAGCATTGTGTTGCTGTGACAAAATACCTGAGAAAAACAACTTAAAGGAGGAAAGTTTTATTTTCGCTCATGGTTCCAGTGGTCACAGTCCACAGTTGCTTGTCCCTATCACTATGAGCTTGTGGTGAAGCAGAGCATTGGGGCAGGAAGTCCATGGTGCAGCAAATCTGATCACCTGGTGGTGGCTGGGAAGCAGAAAGAGTGAGAAAAGGGGCTGGGGACAATATACACCCTTCCATGGGATGCCCCAGTGATGCCCCAGTGACCCGTTTCCCCCACCCAGGTTCCCCCCTAGAGTTTACACCACCTCCCAGTAATGCCATAAAATGATGGCTCCGTCAGTGCATTAATCTAGAGCCCTCCTGACCTATCACTTTCCCCAAGGCCACCTCTGCATATGGCTGGCTTGGGGACCAAGTATTCAGTACATGAGCCTGTGTAGACATTCCATATCCAATCCATAGCAAAGAGAGACACAGGGTTTTGGGAGACTAGAGCAATACATTCAGGTTTTATTCTACAGCCTGGGAAAAGGTTAAACAGGAGCGTTAGGGGTGATGTTCTGTAATTACCAACGGGGTCAAGGGTCAAGGTGACTGATGTGTGACGCTGTCTGCTTCCTGCTGAGCCTTACATCTGATTGTCCTGTTAATTGACAAGAAGGGTGCATACATCTTCAGTTCCAGTTATGGAATATCGATTCCTTCTCTTCTTGCGGCGTTTTCCTGTAGCTGTAAGCCCTGTTCCAAGCTGCACGCTCAGGTCTGAGAGGGACGTCTCTGTGTAGAGCCGACGCCCTGCCAGGCCTCTGGTGACCTCCTGGGACTTGGGTTGGCTTCCCTAGGCAATGGAGCCGGGCAGCCTTTCATGCCTGTGTCTTCATGACGGTCCCCAGCCGTCCACCCTCAGCCTGTGTTTTGATATATAAAGTGCATTAGGATGGACCATTTCTCCCCTGGTAATTTTTTAATTAATTTTGTAATAGAATGATTTTAGATGCAATGTGTGTCTTTCAAAGGATTTGCTGAGCTTCTTCAACCCGTAAATTTATCTTTCACCAAATCTAGGAAAATTAGTATGATCATTTCTTAAAGCATTTCCTGCCTCTCCCCTCCTCTCTCCTCCTGGGACTCAGTTACATGTATGTTTGGTCTTTGAGTATTCCTCCTGTATATCTCTGATGCTCTGCTTAATTTTTCCCCAATACTTTTTTGTTCTCTTTTTCAGGTGACATAATCTCTGTGGCTCTGTCCTCAAATTCACGAACGCTCTCTTTTGCCATCTCTAGCCTGCTATGATGTCATCCCCTCGGTGTTTTATTTTGGATGCTGTATTTTTTACTTCTGGAATTTCTACTTGGTTCCTTCTAGAATTGTTCTTTTTTCCTCTGCTACTTCCTCTTTTTCTTCATTACACGAGTGGTTTCTGTCACGTCCAGGTGCAATAGTGGCTTTAAAATCCCCGTCTGATGGCTCAGCATTTGGGTCTCCTTGGATTGGTTCCCGCTAGCGGGCTCTCTTCTTGTCCGTGGGGGGGCATTTCCTGTTTCCTCACAGAGTGATTCTGGATTGTGCCTAGCAAGGTGGCTGGTGTATGGTGACACCTGAACTACGCCGTGCCCCTGCACAGGGTGTGGGCTGCTTGTGTGGCCCCTGCTCTGTGCCCCTGCAGTGGGTGGTGGCCCCATCTTGCTCAGTCCCCCGGCCTGTGTAGGGCGGCTCAGGATCTGCTCACGTGCTCGCGAGTCATTTGGGGCCTGTCGGAGATTTTGACAGTATGAGCCCACAGGGCTTTGGAGCTGCCCCTGAGACCTTCTGTTTTCAGATGTGTCCTCTCTGCAGCTTCTGTCCAGCCCCTCCTCCACTGCCCTGTGCTTTGGGGCATTCTCCATGTCCTTCTGAGATCGTGCTCCCTGTGTGTCCCTCGTTTACCGCTGTCGTTTGTGATGCGCTTTGGATACAAAGCAAACATGGTTTGTGGGTGAGTTGGCTGAAGGAGGCCAAACAGTGGAACCGGGATGCCCTACATTTTGGGATAATCAAGGGGAGGACGGCTTGGATTCATTTTTGAGCTCAAGAAGACCACACGCAGGAGGAATGTGTCTGGCTGCAGAACAGAGGCTGTGGGATCGGGCTGAACAGCGTAGGCTTGTGACCTTGGAGATGCTGTCTAGATAGTCACCTGGAAATGTCAGACATTGGCTGGATACTTAGAACCTGGAGCTCGCGGTCTAGAGTGTCACCAGAGCATAGCTGGTACCCGAACCCGTGGGACCAAGGGGCTTTCCCAGGGTGGATGGAGCTGGGGAGAAAGGGGTGCTAGGGGGCGCTCTGAAGCCCTGTGGGGTGCAGAAGCCAAGCAGAGGAGGAACAGCCAGCAAAGAGTGCCCCTTCACCAGCTGAGGATCTGGGCCACCCCTGGAGGGAGCGCTCTCAGCAGGTCAGTGCTGTTGAGAAGCTGGCCAAGGCGGGGACAGAACAGCGAGCCTGGGATTGGGCAGAGGAGAGACCCCGATGATCCTTCTCGTCCACCTCCCTGGGGGAGTGGGAGAAATGGGCAAGGCCACGCACAGCCCCTGGATCTGTGGATGGAGGTGCTGGCTCTCAGGGCCCTGGTGGTCTCTGCGGCAGGCTCGGCTGTGAGCTGTGTGCCCACGGAGCACAAAGGGACCACAAAGGAACCACGCAGTCAGTGTGGTGCATCCCGATGGTGGCTCCTCCCTCCTGTGGCAGGAGACGGTCCACCTGCAATGTGGCCCCTACCTGCTCAGACACCTGGAAAGAAGCCTGTGAACCCCAGTGGGCATCTGCTGTGCGCCTGCGGGGACCAAGGACATCCTGGTCCACAGTCCCTGGCAGTTGGCTGGCTGCCCTGTAACCCTTGGCCATGCTGATAGTAGAGGATGGATTCTGAGCGGGGCTGGGCCCCCCGCCTGCTGGGAGCCACCTTCTCCGTGGGCCTGGCTGGAGCTTGTCAGGCTCAAGGTTCTAGGGAGAGAGTCCTGGGTTCAGAGTGCGGTCTGCCCAGAGAACCCGAGTGGTCCACACAGTCAGGACCTGATGGCGACCCCCCCTGGCTGGGTCTCTCGCTCAGCCCGGTGCCTCTGGATCGGGGACTGGCATTCATCACACGGGTGCTCACGGACAATACCTCTGGGAGGCCTGTTCTCGCTGAGGCCAACTGTATGTCAGGGCAGAGCCCTCTGCCTTGGTTCAGGGCAGGCTGCCTTGGCAATCGGGCATTCTGGAGGGCACAAAGGTGGGTGACTTCTACTCGGTTTGTACTCACCCACAGGAGTCGCTAGCCCACCCTGTAGCATCCGAGCACTAAAGTGCTCAGGTCCTAGGGAAGGCCATGTGGGGCCGGCCAGCGCTTGGGACACCTTTCCCCAAAGTCAGCCTTTGTGCCAGGCACCTTGAGCTGGTCTTGGCTCCAGCTGTTCTCCCAGCTCCTTCCCATCCAGGTTCCATTCTTGTCCTTTGCATTCAAAGTATCCCTGCAAACAAAGTAAATGGGAGCAAGTCTGTAGGGCCTTCCATTATCAGGATAGAGCATCGGAACCCCTTCCGCAGGAGGGAACAGTTTCTAAAGCCAGCTTTACGGTCTAGCCTACCCGGGCACCGGCCAGGTCCCCTTTCCTAACACAGTGTTTGAGGTGACCTTTCCGTTAATATTTTTACAGTGCTGAAAACCAGTGCTCTTATCTAGGGGTTAATTCCTTTCTAAAATATTTGCTTAGTTGATTTTCAGGAATCTCTACGTAGGAACCTGGCGATGTATATCTTTCGCCCTGTTGGTTGTGGAATACTGCAGCCCAGTGAGAACCAACCCCATTGCAGCTCCTAGAACTGAACTTCAGCCACAGTTGAATTCTTTGTGCTCAGGCTGAGACTTGGCAAGGCCGGCCAGCGGTGGCTTTTGTTCCACGTGGTCATTGTAAGCTGGCCGTGCTCATTTCCTGATAGCGTGAACTTCCACATGTCAATGACGAGGGTCCACGGTGGAGCAGAAATCCCTGTGTGTGTTTGCGGCTGAGTTCAGACTGTCCCAGCTCCCTCCCTCCGACTTTAGAAGGCGTCTCCTGTGAGGCGAGGGGCAGTCTTTTGCTGGAACCCAGGGGGTTCCTGCCCGGCTGGTAATGTTGTTAGATAAGGTGTCCAGGAGCCTCCCCTAATGCTGACCACTCTTCAACATGCAGATCAAAGAGTACGAGAAGCTGGACAACGAGGAGGACCGCCTGTGCAGGAGCCGGCAGATCTACGACACCTACGTCATGAAGGAGCTGCTGTCCTGTTCCCACGTAAGCCCCGAGCTCCTCCCCGGGCTGCGCTCTGATCAGTGTGAGAGGGAGTGAGTGGTGGGTGGAGTTTAAGAACAAAGATGCCAGGTCAGTGTGTTGTTGCACACCTGTCATCCCAGGGGCTCTGGAGGCTGAGGCAGGAGGATGGTGAGTTCAAAGCAGCCTCAGCAATAGGGCTGGGGATGGGTCTCAGGGGCTGAGGGCCCCTGGGTTCAATCCTCGGTACCAAAAAAAAAAAAAAAAAAAAAAAAGAGCTCAATGCCTGTGTTCTGTAGTCTGCCCCCTGGAAGATCCACACGGTGCCGGAGGATGTTCCAAAAAGCCAATTCTTGCTCTGCAAAAAACTGAAGAACTAAAATTCCTAGTTCATATTAATTGAAGAAAAAGTCTCAATTCCAAACTTTCCAGAGAAAATTCAGCTTTGTTATTTTTAATTGCACTATCTTTTCATAAATAGGCTAATCAAATATTGAAAAGTATAAATCTTAAATAGCTTCAGTGAATTAATAAGGAGAATTGTGATTATTTTCTTAGTTTTGTTCATGAATAGTTAAATATCAGTTGGAGTAAATGTTTTCCTTATAAATCAGATAGGCAATCTAATTCAGCCATTAGGATAAACTAGGTTCTCAGGAAATTATTTCACCAAAAGTAAGTGGAATAATTAATAATGAGAATTTGCCAGGCGCTGGGCACAGTGGTGCATGCCTTTAATCCCAGTGGCTGGGGAGGCTGAGGCAGGAGGATCACAAGTTTGAGGCCACTTTCAGCAACTCAGTGAGACCTTGTCTTAAAATATATTAAAAAATGCCTGGGGATGTGACTCAGCAGCTGAGTTCAGTCCTAGTACCGCCCCCCCTCCCCCCAAAAAACCCCTTTTTTAAAGGGATAGACTGACAGTCCTGGCCTCCCCCATTCAGTATAGTAGCCACTGGCCATGTGTGGCTGTTTGAATTTGTTAAAATTATTTAAAATCAGATGGGATTAAGAATCTGATTCATCACTTCCTCCTGAGTCACATTTCAGGTGCCCACAGCCCCATGTGGCCAGAGGCTCCCAGCGTGTGGTCAGGCAGGAAGCCCCTTGCACAGCCCTGCCCTGGCACCGATCTGCTCCAGCCTGCTGCAGGGAGCTGGTCCGGGCTCTGCAGACCTGGAAGAGCTGCGGCTGCAGGTGGCCTCTCCGGCAGCCCACGTGGCCTTGCTCTTTGCACCCACCTGCTTTGATGGAAGGAATTTCTGAGTAGGAAATCTCCGGTCCATGCCTTGCTGCTCCTGGAAGGCTGAGCCCCAGTGAAGGCCAGATGTTCTCGGAAAGCCGCGTGAACTTGGTTTTCCGTGGCTAGCGGGGTTTTAAGCCCCAGGAGGTGTTTTTTAAAGCTCTTCTTACTGAGCATTGTTGCAGAAGACGCAGGTAAAGTTTGGGGGGCTGCCGTCTGTGGTTCCCGCCAGTGGGAGCTCCACTTGCCCAGCTCCCCCTGCCGTGGCTGCAGTCAGAGCCCCGTGAACTCAGAGCCTCTGGCCACCGTCACTAGGCTTTGTAATGCTGCATTTGATATTTAGGTGAGTGTCCGTGTGTCGTTTGATGTAGGAGAGGGTTTGTGTTTTTAGAAGTCCCCTATCGGCAAGCGAGGAGACTCAGCCAGTGGGTGTAGCAGCTGTGCTGTTCCTGACACGTCATTAGCCCACTGACCTTGACCTCCCGTGGGGGTAGCTGTGCACTCAGGCCCCTGTGTGCTGCCACAGCTCTGGGAACCCTGCATACCCGAGGGATGCGCAGGCGTTGATCGGCCTCCACCCGGGGCGCAGAGTTTGGGGAACACTGGTTGGTATAATCGCACAGATTGTCGCTAAGCGATTGGGGAGTTCGACTCTCTGTTGTGGTATTGTGTGCCATCGAGGTTCCTTACATATATGATTATTCAAAATCACTGTCTTTGATTTTTCAAAAGCCATTCTCCAAGCAAGCTGTGGAACACGTACAGAGTCATCTGTCCAAGAAGCAAGTGACATCGACACTCTTTCAGGTAAGATAGAATTGCTTCAAGGTAAAGGCACTGGATCCGCGTAGCAGTTGGGCTCTGTGACATCGCTTTGGCGTGTGTGCGTGTGCAGTAGAGGAGAGCCTGCGAGACCGTGTCCTCCTGGGCCCGCTGGGCTTAGTGTCCCTTGCCTTTTCATTGAGATGGGCGCCTCCACCCACGGGCGGGCTGCACTTCCTGGAAAAGAGAAGTGTACCCCAGAGATTTCTAGTAGCATCCCATTCTAGAAGTCCACCCGGGTAAGACACTGGAGAAGAAAACTCTTCCACGTTTGATATTTTGAGACCTGGGATGGACAGGGACTTCACAAGATGTGTCCTGATGGCCCGGGTGTCGGTCCCTGCAGTCATCCCCCTCCTGGTTAAATGGGATCTGCTTTCAAGAATCAAGGGGGAATCTTCAGGGGCCCTGGAGTCACACCTGAGGATGTCCTTTCCCTTAGCCACTCATAACACACGACACAGCTCCATGTTAGATGAGGAGGTTAGGGAACTGGTCCCCTATCTAGACCTGGGTGTCGCTGCTGTGGGGATGGAGCGGCCCCTGGGCGTCCTGTGGGTCCTACAGAGGTGGCAGGTGGTTTGCAAAAACAGTCCAGTTCTCAAGTGGATAATGTATTTTTATATTTCTATGAATTATAATAAATGAAAGAAGTAATGATTTTCATAAATGAAAATATTTTTTCCTTTTCTTGGATGTTTCAGTTACAATGAGGTAAGTGGATGTTTGATTTGTCACCTTTTGATAGGATTTATTCATTCAAAATGAAGTTGATTATTCTACAGAGAAAACACTAATGTGGCCCTTAGAGCATGAGGACAGTAACAAATTGGGTGTCATCCTTCAGTCAAAATAATTAGACGTCCCTTTCACAAAAGGTAGGCGCCGTGTGCACGCGCCAGGGGGTTCCAAGCTCAGGTTCTGGAACTGGTGAGTGGGCTGGGTTTTGGCCCCAGGGCTGCGACCGCCTGCTCCTGTTTCCCCGTCTGTGAGGGGAGGTGGCCAGGCTGTCTCTCAGAGGGTCTTGAAGATTCTGGGAAAGGTCGCTTTTCCCTTGGCCTGCCCCCCCAATTCCCCCCAAATGTCAGCTAGGACCAGGTCCTGCAGCATCTGCCCCGTAGGTCTGTGTGTCTGCTCTGTGCCGTCTCCGAGGCGTTTCCTGTCAGAGTCTCAGTCTTCAGACGACTCTGCCGCAGACAGCTCTGTAGTCACAGGGTGGGGGCTCTGCTGTGCCTTCCCACAGAGCCTGTCATCGGTTCCCATAACCCTGAAACACCTGAACCTGCCTGATTCAAGAAACAAAAAGAGGTTCGTTTAACTTGGTGGTTAGATTAGAGGACAGAAGTCCAAGACTGGACACCCTGTCAGCAGCCTCGGGTGGCCCCCGTGGCTGTGTCACATCAGGCGTGTGGCATCACGGCAGGAGGGGTGCAGGAGGGAGAGAGCACAGGGAAGGACAGGAGGGGAGGGGGGCTGCTTCCCATGGCACCTCTCGGGAGAACTCACCAGAGCCCCCAGAACTGCCTGAGTGCCCCCAGAGGGCAGCGCCCGTGACCTCGCCTGCCCGGGTCCATCAATTTCCCATCTCACATGGAGGACCAGGTTCCAGCCAGTGACCTCTGGGATACACTCAAGCCGTGGCCTAGCCACAGCACCGGGCTTTTCATCCAGGTTTTACCTTTTCCTGCAGCACAAACCGTGTTGGAGCCAGCTTGTCCAGGTGAGATAGGAAGGTCACCTGGGTTCCTTTCATACCCTCGGGGACACTCATTCGCAAGCTTTTCTTCAGCCTGTCTTTTTTACAACACTTTACTAATTTGTTGGGTTCACTAAAAACGGACGAGTGTTCTGGTGAAGCTGATGTGGCAGGTGGCGTTCCCATTCCACAGGTAAAGGGGACGTTGCATTCATTCGATCGTGTCCATCAGAGCGTGGCGATGGAGCGTAGACAGAAGTGACGTTTGGGCGTTCCGTTTACAGATGTGCCCCCGCCCATCACGTGGGTGGAGGTTCACGTTACACAAAAATGTTCCGAAAGTCAATTCAAAATGCTTTTTATCAAGTTCCCTTTGTCCATGAAAATGACTTTAGAGATGAGTGTCACAGAGGTATGTTGGGTGGCAGCAGCCGAGAGGGGTCCTGGCTGGTGTTCAGATGTCTGAGACGTGCCAGGCCCCGTGCTCTTGGCAAGGGTCTTGGTTTTACTCAGTTCTCGCAAAGCAGAGGTGACTCACCTTCCCCAGATGCCCGGAGCCGAGGACCAGGGAGCTGCGCAGTTGCTGGCAGCTGGACGAGGCTCCTGCCCCGCTGCCCGGCTGCCCGGCGGCTCCTTCTGCAGCAGGGTGATGGCCGAGAGGTCCTGGAGCCTTCCGTCTTTCACAGGATTGATGGGAAGGGGGAGAAGCTGGGTGGAATAAGGAAGCAGAGTGCCAACTGGCCAGTGTTCCTGTGACTAGAAGCCTGCGGTGGCTGGAGTGTCCCAGCTCTGGGTCCCGCTCTGTCTGGGAGCCTCTGGGGCCTCCTGGGACTTGAAGGGCTCAGCTGAGATGGAGGTCACACGTAGACGTGTCCCTGGGGGCTTTCCGTGCTGGAAAGGACTCAGAGATGCTTCACTGAGGAGAACACAGTCCGTGTGGTTTCAGGGGTCAGTCTGAGAACAGCGGTAGCCCGTCCTCGCCCGCGTCCCCTGCCCAGCACAGCCTCCCATGCCAGCGCAGGGGGGCTCCCTAGAGAGCTCGGGGCTGGCAGCCGGGCCTGCCCGCCATGGCTCTCCCTGCTGGCGTCCGCTCCCTGTCTCTGCTCAGCCTCCAGGGCGCTCTGGGAAGACCCGGGCAGTGCTAAGTCTTGTCTTGGTCCACAGGTTCAGGTGTCAAGATTCCCCCAAAGACCTAGCTGACTCTTTTGAACCGTGAAGGGGGCCCTTGGTCATTTCTTGTTCCCCACTTGAAGTTCATCCACGAAACAGAAAAGTCTGTGCTGTTTATTTCACAGTGTGCCAAGGGCACAGGATTGGAGTAGATCACAGCTGTCCCGCCCGAGGGCCAGCAGCCCTGGCTGTCACCCTGCTCAGCCATGAACTTGCTGGAGGCCTTGGGAATGCACCCCCCACCCCCAGTCCTGGAGCCTCCGACAGCCAGAGGGGCAGGTTGGTTCTCCCCCCTGGTTCCCTTTAGCTCTGTCATTCCGAGGGCTCGAAAGCCCATCCATCACGGACACAACCGGACGAAGGCATTGAACTCTGTGGCTCTGTTCGCTCTGACTTGTGACGACTCAGTGTTCAAGCAGATTACGGAAGCTTTCTGCAAGATGTGCTACGTAACTCACAGGCCCGTGCGAAATGACCCCGTCGTTCAAAAGTTATCAGGAAGTTCAAGATGGTGACAGAGGAACGTCAGCCACCACCAAACTCTTCTAAGTGACATCCACCCAGCTAGTCCCTGTCACTTAGGAAGGGTCCGCTGCTGGCCACGCGCCACACGAGGCAGTAGGGACACAGGGGCCAAGTTGCAGGCCTGCCCCGTCCTGGTGGGCTCCAGGGGAGCTGCTGTGGTATAAGCCGTGCTGTCTGTGTGTCCGTCCTGGACGAGCAGCACCCCGGGAGTGCGCCCTGGGGCCTGGCCCTGTCTGGGGCTCACTGTCTGCCTTCCCTCTGGTCCATTCCCATTCACACAGCGTGGCATTTCTTCTCCGTCCTTTCCAGCCTTACATAGAAGAGATCTGCGAAAGTCTTCGAGGCGACATTTTTCAAAAATTTCTGGAAAGGTATGAAACTTTATGTATATAAATGAATCCAGTATCGTAAGGGCGCGTGTCACTCACTCTACTCTACTCTGTCTGTGCTGTCCTTAAATGTGTGAGACGCGGCTGGGCCATGCTCAGTGGCAGAGCGTGTGCAAGGTCCTGGGTTCCATCCCCAGCACTGCAAAAAAAATTTTTTTAAGATGTGTTAATTTATTCATCCAACAGGTGTTTGTTGCTGTGACCGATGTGCCAGGCTGTTCGTCTGTTTCTTCATTATTTTATATCCTAATTTGGGGGTCTGTGTAGCTACACGTCCCTTTGAGTTTCAGGTCTTTAGCTGCAACATATCCTGAACTTTAAATAGAGCAGGGGACCTCGGGTTTAAAGCTGTCCTCTCAGGAGACCTTGCTAATGCAAGTGTGCCTGTAGCTTACTGGGTTGATTTGTTGGGTTCTGGAGACGTACCCCAGAATGAGGCGTACCCCCAGTGGGGCGTGCCTGGGCTTGATTCTCTTCAGGGCTAGGTGATGGGGTTTGTGATCCTGTACATCGTTGACATCCCCGGAAAATGGGTCCCTTTGGTCACTTGAGCTGTAGCGTGTGTTTGTCATAGAATTCTGGAGTTTGTCCTAAGAATGTGCGTCTCCTCCGCCTTTCCAGCCCCTTCCCAGCCAGCTGCAGTGTTTTGAGCAGGCCTCTGTGATAACATACTCTTGGCATTGGACTTTCTAAAACCGAACCTGCATTCACACTGACCGCCCTTCCCTCCGTAAACCTGGCTAATTTCCACGCAGTGGCCATGGCGATGGTGTCTCACGGCGGGAGCGGCTGTACAGCTGCTCAGAAATCGCACCCTGAGAACAAGGGCTACTTTCTCACAGTCTTCTCTCCCCACCCTCGGAGAACTAAAACAATTTAAAAACATGGCTGTGTTGTCAGTCCACTGGGGTTTGGAGATAATTTGCCTGGAGTAGAGTCATTCTTCCAAATGAGGGCTCTCCTCTGAGTAACAGCAGAAACTTGGGCAGGACGCCGCCCAGGGAAACCGCGGGCGGGCCTGGGGCGCATCCGCCTGGGTGGCCGCCTGGTCCCCGCCATCTCCACAGCAGGTGCTTCTGAGAGCGACCTTTCCCTCCTGTTGGATCAGCCTTGCTCTGATGTGACCCCAGGAAGTAGGGAAAGTCTGGGAAGGTCATTAAGTGGCAGGAGGCTTCTCCCTGGTGTCTTGTCACTCAGCATGGTGACCGACCCTTCCCTCCCAGGCTGACATACATGGTCTGGTCCTTTATCCCGCCCAGTTTGCCGATTGGATGAAGCTGTGGGGCATGTCACGGAGCAGGCACCCTGCATGTCTGGAAGCGCTTATAATTTGATGTAAATAAGTTGTTTTTGAAGTCGTTTTATCAATCCATACACCTTTTAGGTGTATTTATAAATACACCTTTTAGGTGTATTTATAAATACACCTTTTAGGTGTATTTATAAATACACCTTTTAGGTGTATTT